GTTCATTAACCTTATCATGCAGTGTGTTCAAACCTCCAAGATTAATGTCCTGTGGAATGGTGGTAAAACTGAGGATTTTAGGCCTTCACGTGGTATTCAGCAGGGTGATCCTCTATCACCATATCTTTTTGTTATTGCACTGGAAAAGTTAACTCATATTATTAATACTGTCGTGCTGGGTGGTCTGTGGAATCCGATTCGGGTTGGTAATGGGGGTCCTCGTCTTTCCCATATTGCTTTTGCCGATGATTTAATGCTTTTTATGGAGGCTACGGAAGAACAAATTGATGTGTTATTGCATTGCCTGCATTTATTTAAGGAAGTATCTGGGCAGCGTCTTAGTGTTGATAAAACAAGTGTTTACTTTTCCAGAAATGCTAGTGAAGATGTAATATCTAGAATCACGCAGAAAAGTGGCTTCAAGCGCGTGAGGAACATGGGCAGATACTTAGGATCCATGATGCAGCATGGGAGAGCGTCTAAGGAGTTGTATGCAGGGATCATAGAGAAGGTAAGAGATAAGATGAATGCTTGGAATCAACAATCTCGTTCGCAGGCAGGCCGCATCACATTGTCTCAGTCGATTGTGGCTTCCATGCCTTATTTCCAAATGCAAAGTTGTAAGATTCCATTGTCTGTTTGTAATGAGATTGAGAAGCTGCAGAGAAGTTTTATTTGGGGTGATAAGGAAGGAAGGAGAGCTAATCATCTTATTAATTTGAGTACCATTACGAGTCCTAAGGAGGTTGGGGGTCTCGGCTTGAAACGACTGGAATTTATGAATGATGCCATGCTTGCTAAGAGAGTTTGGAGCTTCTCAAACAAACCAGATCATCTTTGGGTTCAGGTTCTGAAATCTAAATATGAATCAAGGAGTTCGAGAGCTGCGGGTTTTGTGGCTTGTAACGGTGACTCTTCCTTGTGGAGGAATATGTGTCGTATTTGGAGGATGATGGAGGGGAGGCTTAGATGGGAAGTTGGTGATCGTAGGACTGTTTCCTTTTGGCATGATAATTGGCTCACTTTGGCGCAGCCTCTTCGTGAGCTAGTCACATCTCCGAATCTGGATGTTAATGATGTCATGTGTTGCTGATATGGTTAACTCTAATGGAGATTGGAATTATGATTCTTTAGGCCTTTGGTTCCTGAGAGATGTCATTGATATTTTTCGCGGGACATTAACTCCAGGTGTAAATGATGGTCCTGACAGCAAGTATTGGGATCTTGATGGTGAGAACACCATAACAGTAAGGGCGACCTATAAGGCTCTTGTTGGCCAAGAGTTAATATCGGGTTTGGCTGATGGTAGATGGCAGTGGGTGTGGGATTGGAATGGTCCTCAAAGAATCAAGTTGTTTATGTGGAAGGTTTGTCACAAAAAGCTCCTCACTCGAAGTAGGACTGCTCTTTGGGGGACTGGCACTGAATCGTGTCCTTTTTTTAAGGAGGAGAGTGAAACCTTGTTACATGCGATTCGGGACTGTCATGAGGCTAAGTCTGTTTGGTCTCATTTTGTGCCTTCGGACAAGTTTGCAAACTTCTTCTTTGGTGATGTTGATAATTGATTTTCGGTTAATATGGACATGGATAAGCATGAGATTACGAATGGTTGGAGGAATTTGTTTTTTGTTATTTGTTGGAAAAATTGGAAGTGGCGTAATGATTTGGTGCATGGCTCGACTTTTCCTTGCTTAAATGTGAGGAAAGGGATTATTTGCAGCTCGGTGAGGACATTAGCAATGCTTTAGCTAGTGCTCAGGAGAGGCTTCCAGTAAAGTTTTCAATGAAGGTGGACATTACTTGGCAATATCCAACAGATGGGTCAGTAAAAATTAACATAGATGGTGCAGCTAGAGGTAATCTTGACCTAACTGCTTGTGGGGGTTTGATTCGTAAGGGGGCGTTTGGTTGAGGAGAAATTTTTTGAATACTAGGGAAATGTAATTGATAGGGAAATGGTAGAAAAGTGAGTTTGGTAAGGAAGTGTAAAAAAAGTTGTTTGGTTGGAAAAAAAATTACTGGGCAAATTGAGTGAAATTTCCTGAATCCATGTTTGGTTGAAGATAAAATATTGATAGGAAACCAGGTAAAATTACAAAATGCACCCTTTACGTTATTAAGTGGGTCCGCAAGATTTGGTGCATGCATTTATTACCGGATGCTGACAACATAAGAAGACAAGAGATCATAATTCAGGGTATCAACTAAACATGATATACTACATCATCCAAAATGGTGGAGATGAGTCACTTGTCCGTGCGGTTCGTTGGGTTTTGGAAGCTTGGAATAAATAAAAATTATGAAAAGGGGAAGGGGCTGTGGGTGGCAGGAGGAGGGACGGTGGTGGAGATGGCTGAACGGTTGTGGGCTGCGGTTGGAGAATGGGTCGGGGAAGGAGATGTGGTGGATGTGAGAGAGGTGGGTGGTGGCGGTGAGGGGTTTTCGATCAAGAAGGGGTTGTGGTGTGGTGGTCCTTGCCGCCGAGCTTGGAGGACCGGTGGTTGATTGCTATGGAGGAAGGTGACCGAATGGGTTTGTGGGTCGGTGGCTTTGTGTGGTGTATGGTGTGTGGTGGATGTGGGTAGCTGGAATCACTGAGTCGGTGGCGGTTGTGGTTGTCCGGTTGTGTAGGCTGTGGTTTGAGGGAGGATATATGGTGGTTTGAAAGCACCGATGAAGGGTAGTTTTGGAAGCTCCCTTTTCACCCATTTTCACTTCCCTGGTTATCCATCAAATACCACCATCGGAGTGGGATTTCAACGCCTTCTTTTGGGTCCAATTTTACATACAAATCTCGATTGCTAGGGAAATGGGTTAGGTATGCAAATATTTGGATCACTTCTACCAAACATGGAGAACCTATTTACCCACTTTGATATGCCTAGGGAAATTTTGAGAAAACGTCTACCAAACGGCCCCTAATTCTCAAGGGAGATGGCTGGGGGGTTTTGCTTACAAATTGGGGGTTTGCTCTTCTTTTAAGGGTGAGCTCTGGGGTGTTCTTTTAAATGACATAACTTATGTCATTTCACTTTCATAAAGAGATGAGACCATAATTTTATTTTTTTTGTCCACTCTGTCTCTCAAATAATTTATCTATTTCTCTCATTTAAAATGACACAATTTTATATCTTTTAGAATACATACACTTTATCTATTTAAGAAAGGACAACAATTATTTATATAATAAAAAAATAAAAATAAAACTCATAATTAAATATAAACTTAGAGAGGCACCCCTTTTCCTAGTCCCTAGCTCCACTATGAAAAGATATTCTCTAATAACCCTGTCATCTTCATATGGTATATGAAAATCTTTAGTAGCAAAGTCTCTCTCTTATAAATGAGAGGCCCAACACTCAACTATCCATCATGTCCCACTCCACCATTATTTCGAAGTCTCTACGGTGCACCACTATTTCTCGCCCTTGGAAACGCTATCACCAGTACCACCACAAGCCCATGTAACTCTTACCGAATAACTTTCTCTTTGTATTCCGTTCTGTTTCGGTTGTTTCATAAAACTAAGTCAACTATCCCAACTATTTCGTCGTCATCTATTCATTTACTTATCTTCTAACAAAAAATGAAAAAAACAAAAGTCAATTTTCTTCGTCTGTTTATTATGTTCTTTCCGTAATTGAGGCAGAAAGTCTCATAATTGGTCATCACAACCACTCAATCCCCACCACGTGTCATCCACTACGCATCCTCTTTGGTTGACTCTGTTCACCGTAACCCTTCCCACACCAAACCCCATCCCCACATCAGATTCCACTTTCTTCAATTTTCTAATTAATAGCTATAATAGTACTTTACTGCTCCAATCCTTAATAAACGCGGTTGATGCAGATTCTTATGAACCCAAATCCGGCTACCTTCATTAATTTTTTTCCTTCGTAAAATTATTCACACTAACACTGATGAGTGTTACAGTAAAATTTTATATATTTCTAACTTGAGGACCATTGAACTGCGTAACTCAATTGAACTGTAAAATCGACGTGTCTGTACCAAAAAAAAAAAAAAAAAAAAAACGATGTGAATCCTTTTGTAAACTTATTGTTGCATAAATGGATTGCGTACGTTATTAGCATTATGATTATTTAAAAACGATATTATAATATATATATATATATATATATATATAAAAGAATAGACATAAAAGGTATAAAATAAACAAATGTGTTTATGAAAATAAGACCGAACGTTTCTTTGAAAGTCTGAACGTTTCTTCTAAATTAGTAGCTAATTTAAAAACGTCATAATCCAAGCCTTGACCAAAATATGCAAATGTTCCAATTGTAGAATAAATCTTGAGTGCATCACATCACATGTATGGAAGATTTAATGTATTTGTCCAATTATTTTATGATACGTCAAAGAAATCACATTATTTATTTCTTTTAGATGACGAGATATGTTTTTTTATACCTATCATACAATGAATAAACAGATACACTCTGATCCACTAAAGATTGGTTTCCAATTGTGGATTGTTTCCATGTGTCCTTGGTAATAATAACACAGACCCGAGTTGAGTGGCACACACAATACGCGGGTCCTGGTTCTCCTTTGTGGCTGCTAGCTAGCGCTGTCAAAATTCATAGTCAGTCATCATATCGTAAACACACACACACACAGACACTGCTTCCCAATTTTCCTCCAAATTAATCTCAACAGTGCCACACAGGAACCAAAAAAGGTACGTGCAGATGCGATGCCTAATTCTTTTCTTCCACCACGAGATTCAGATCATGCTACCTAAAATTCACGTCTATGATTGATTTCCTTACACTGTTCTTTTTTTTTTTCTCTCTCTCTCTCTTTGTTCGACGATCAATCATTATTTGTTATGATCTCTCGTATGTATGGTTATTGATCGGTTAATTAATTTCTGTTATGATTATTTCCACTGCGTTGGAGGATTTTTCTGTTATGTGTTGTTTTGGATTAACTGAATTCGTTCATTGTCTTGTCTCTGTTTGGGACCAAAACAGAAGGAAGACATGGCAGGAGAATCATACGATGAAGCCATAGCAACGCTGACCAAGCTTCTCAGGTCAGGGAAATTTTTTTTACCATCTCTTCTTTTCTCTGTCTCTCTCTCTCTCTCTCTGTGTGTGTGTGTGTCCTTTCTCTAACAGACACCGTGATTTTCGTTCGTAATTGTCAATTCTACACGACCACATATATAGATATAGAGCGTTGTTGTTGTTCTGGTTTCCGTGCAATGTAACGGATTCTTATTTTATTTTTTTTAACAGTGAGAAAGCTGACCTCGGGGGCGTTGCCGCCGCAAAGATCAAGGAGTTGACGGCGGAGCTAGAGGCCGTCGGTTCAAAGCCGTTCAACCCAGACGATAGGATCAGAACTGGGTTCGTCCAGTTCAAGAATGAGAAATTCGAGTACGTCTCTTCTACGGTCTAGCTTTTACTAAGTTAATGTTCGTTTCTTCGTTTGTTTTTTACCTAAAAAATTAGGAACCTTCTCGTTTGGAAATTACTGTCATAATTAGTACTAGAATATACTCTTCTTGTATCCAAAGAAAAAGAAAAAAAAGAATATGCTCTCCTTTCTTTAACTGTTGCGGCCTTGCAAAATAACGTTGCTGTCCTTCGGGGTACTCCTTTTTTTTGGCTTTCACCAAAGTGGTCGGAGGGCTCGAATGTCATGTCCGTCGCATATGACCTCAAAATAAAACAAAATGGAAAGAGTCATGTGTAATGGTATTTTATCTTTACTATAAACGGCACTTTTGTTAGAGGAAAAAAAAAAAAATTGTTCGAAAATTTTGATTTTCAAAAATATAATTTTTACATTAAGTTTATGATAATATCCGAAAATACAAAATTTAAAAAAATTCAGTTTTATGAGAATTACGAAGAATTTCCCGTACCAAACACCTCCTAAAATTTGATAAAGTAGATCTTTAATCTACCATATATTAATGGCAAACCTGAGATGGCCAATGTAGAAAGGCGTTTTGTTTTTGGTGCAAAAAGGGTACTTTGCGTATTGAGTTTTGACCCTTCTTTACTTTTCAGGAAGAACCCTGATCTATATGGCGAACTTGCTAAAGGCCAGAGCCCAAAGGTTAGCCTTGTACTCCTACTCATCATTTGTAACTTCGTTTTCTTACTTCCTACTTGTCCTTCGGGCACCCGCACCTTGTTGGGTACATTAATTTTGTGTTGATCAAATTGAATTTGGTTTAAATGTCATAAAAGGAAAACAAACAAACAAAATATGAAGGGAACAACTCTATTCATATTTAATAATGAAATCTTCTATCCCTATCATTCTTTGATTTAATCAATAAGCCCATGTGTGGACTGTTATCAATCAACTATATATACAAATTATTCACGATGGGCATGTATAAAATTGGTCCTGATCGTATTTGCTGGTAATGGTCTGCTTCATGTTTCTTATTAACATTATCTGTCTAATATTTTTCATAATTAATGCATCTAGGACTAAGCTTTCTTTTCAATGTTATATTATTTTAAACTATTATGGTCTACTAAGTTTTAACCTCAATGCTTTTCATCATAATATAAAGTCAGTTTTTTGTAATGCATAAAAATGTTGTCACTAATCATAATATATTATGTATTGCAGTTTATGGTCTTTGCATGCTCAGACTCAAGAGTTTGCCCATCCCATATTCTGGATTTTCAACCAGGTGAAGCCTTTGTGGTCCGAAACATCGCCAGCATGGTTCCACCATATGACAAGGTTTGTTTTGTTCCCTCAGTGCTTAGTGTTTGACTATGTAGCGCAATTGAAAGGGCAATTTGAAAGTACAAGAGATTGTATGTCATAGACATGAACGTATGTCAAATATGTCGTCGAAAGGTTAACCGGCCTTTTTCTAATTGCAGACGAAGTATACAGGGGCAGGGGCGGCCATTGAGTATGCAGTCTTGCATTTAAAGGTAAATTGTTACTCACTCTGTGTTCCTCTCTTTCTTTATACCATATATCTTATTGTGCTCTATAAATAAGGCGGGTCACGCGGTAAAAAAGATGTTTGGTGGCTGCGATTTGCTTATGTTGCATCATTATTTGTTGGGATCCACACGCATCTCAAGTTGCACATCTTATTCGATTTCATTAGAACACTAGCCTTAAATTACGAAAATGGTAAATGAACATCTTAAGGAATATTCGAATTGATGCATATTGCTAAAGCAAAGAATGAACAAGTACTCAACTACCACGCAAACTTTAGTTTCATAGACTTTCTAGAAGTTATAGTAGTCAAATTCATCTATCATAACCCAACACTTACTCCCCTATCTACCGCACCTTCCCTCTCTAATTATCAGGAATATAAATAAGTATGGTCACCTGTTCATTTAACTTATTTATCCTACCAATTAATAGGTATCGATGAAAAAGCGTATATCTTAACAGAAAATATGGGTATGAAATAAAAGCTTTATTTAGATATAAATATTTAATTTTTATATATTTCACCAGTATATTGAACACATTATTTTTATTTTATTTATATAAAATAATTTGTATGTAGGACTATATGTAAAATTATTTAAATTTGTGTATGAATAAAAAAAACTCGAATGAATATAAATTTATAAAAATATTTTCTACTCTTGATCAAGTATGAATGTTAACATATAACATTTTCATCCCACAAAATTTGGATAAAGTAAGTGGAAAGAGAAGTGTTGTTTGCATAGACGAACTGAACGTCTTTCTCTAGACAGGAATAGCTTATTTTATTTTATTTTTTGGGATTCTAAATGGTATAACTTACAGGTGGAGAATATTGTAGTTATTGGACACAGCTGCTGTGGAGGAATAAAGGGGCTCATGTCTATCCCAGATAATGGGACCACTGCAAGGCAAGTCTATGTTGTCATTACTTAGATCTCTTAATACAAGAAGGATAAACAATTTTGATAAATGGATGAGTATTGAAAGTACATATGATCAAAATTAATTTAAACTAATACGATAGCTTTTCAGGACTTCCAAGTATGTTGGTGATTCACAGATCCCTTTTCCACATACTTGAAATGTTTAGTAGATTCATCATCATTCAGACAATTAATAACATGCCAGTATTAATAATAGTGAATATAAAGTCATGTTGGTTCCATATTGGAGACAAACAAGAAGGTTGACAAATCAAGAAGAACAACCTTTTAGAAATGTTGCTTTGGGGATATACCAAGAACAAATTATAGCCTTTTGTCGAGCATAGTAATGCAGAGAAGCATTTATTATTTTACTGCTCCCGTCTTTCCGTGTCAAATGGCAATGAATTATTATTCACGGGAAAGGACAAACATATTATTATATACATGATTCCTTTTTTGAGGAATTTCAACTCCTCTCTAACTAGTCATTGGATTCTTGCATACAAGATTCCCCAATGAATATTATAATATTACACAGTGAATTTCATGAACTTGACTGCTCGCCAATTCAATTTTGGTAACACAAGAAAGATGATATACATAATCATTTCCTTCCTCCGTGATGTTACAGTGAATTTATAGAGCAATGGGTCCAAATATGCACTCCAGCAAAGTCAAAAGTTAAAGCGGAAACAAGTAACTTAAGTTTCTCGGAGCAGTGTACTAACTGTGAGAAGGTAAGTATATATGACACTCTACCCTTTTAACTCTAGGGCTCCATGTCCCACAGCAACTTGTTATTTCGTTGCTTAATTTGTTTCTACTCAGCTGTGTGGTGTTGTTGATGTTGATTTTTCTAATATTGCAATACATGCATATAGTATTTATAGCACAAAGAGCTTAAAAAATATTTGGAACTGAATCTATTGGTTACAAATTGTTATGGACTAATTGCTTCCTTACTCCAATGCAGGAAGCTGTGAATGTATCGCTTGGGAACCTATTGACTTACCCATTTGTGAGAGATGGGATTGTGAAGAAAACGCTTGCTTTGAAAGGAGCACATTACGATTTTGTTAATGGCACTTTTGAGCTGTGGGATCTGAACTTCAAACTTTTGCCTTCTGTATCCGTTTAATTAAGATGTCTCCAGCACCAAAGTAAACCTACCCGAACTATTTAGTAAAGAAAACAAAAATAATGGTCTGAGCTAGGAGCAATAACTCAATTAGTTTTTTTCCTACCAAACTCATTTCTCTCTCTGCTATACAAAGAGTGTTCTTATTTTATTTTCATTTTTTTGGTTGAAATATTTTATTTTCATTTTGCTGATATGTCAATGATATGATCCCAAGCTACCAGATAGTTACTCATAAATCTAGACAAATTGGATAGATGGGTTTTTGGTGAAAAACGTTGAAACAAACATGAGTATTTCTAAAAGCCATACTTGAAAAAGATAGATATCCGCTGAAAAGCTTCCAACCAAACACCACCCTAGTATTATCGTTAGGAATGATTGGATGGGTGACTTATCCTTTGTCTTCTAGTGATAGGATAATAGATTTATCTTTTATCTCTTTAGTTAATTATTTGCTGTTAGGTTGTTGGGATATTGGCCCACAAAATGGTCCAGAACAATAGTATTATACAAATTTGTTATATAACTGGAAACTATATCGAATATACTAATTAAATAGCCCATAATATACTTTTATATAATAAAATTCATCGATTCTAGGATTTTGTAGGCAATTTTTTATATTAAAAATTTGATATTAAATTAATGCATTGAAATAGTAATTAAAATGAAATTCCTAAAAATTCAAATTTAAACTTAAAAATATCCATCCTCAACAATTTTTTATTTTTCTGAAATTTGCATATATACAGAAACATAAAATTTATTGTCAGTAATGATAATTTCATTTTTATTTATCAAAAAATATTTGTATGTAAGTAATTATTTTAAAAAATTAATATTAAATTGATATTTTTATTTGAAGTTAAATTGAAAATTAAAAATAAATTTACTGAGTCAAATGATATTTAATTCCAAGAATAAATCTCATTCGTCTAAAATCTTTTATAATATCATAAATTCAATAATACTGAATTTGTTGTTAATAATTATAATTTCACAATTGATTTTCTTTTCTTATTCATTTAAAATAATTTGTTATGCATTAGTGATATGCAGTTAATTATTTTTTTATTAATATTAATCGTAACGGAAGTCTGTATTGATTATTAGCTTCCTTTTTGTATGCATTAGTTGCATGCAGTTCAACCTTCAGTGATGAATGAAATTTATTCATCAAATTGATGATGATTATAATAATAATAATAATCTATCTCCCAACTTAATTGTTTTAAAAAAATGAAACTTATCAAACTGACGTTAATTAATTAGTAATTAATACGATGCTGATAACTGAAACTTGTAATGAATAATTTTCTCATAAAAACCCTAAGAACAATACCACTAACTAGAAAGGACTAACCCACCCAACCCAATTTACAAAATCTCAATTTAGGAGGGTAAAAAAAAATTAAAGAAAGAGAGCTATCAATTGGAAACACAAAACCCTCCTCATGTTGAGAAAGATTAACAAAACATATATTCACTAAAAAACTTACCACCACAAGTAGAGGCAGAAGAATAGTTGCAACTAAGTCAACATAAAACCCAACTTCTCAGGGAAGTAGGAGGCAACAGATAACAACGGGAAAAATATACCCAAGATGCAAAATATGATCTTGAATGCCGTAAGTGACAACCCAACCGACTGCACGTATGATAACTTGATCTATTGCCCTAGCATTCCATGCAAGGATGTTCAGTCCATACACAACTGGGGGTGTAAATGGGCTGGGCTTTGGCCTTCCTGGCCCAAGCCTATGTAAAAAAAAAAATTAGTCTATCTGGCCTACTGGCCTATTAAAGGCTTTATTTGTAGGCCAAGCCCAGCCTATTTTAAAAAATAAGAAAGTCTAACATGGCCTACAGGCCTTGTAGGTCTCCCACTGTAGATACTAAGCAAAGAAAATAATTGTACAGAGCAAAGAAAGTTCCATTCATGCATGCACTAGTACTTCTCATAAGAAAAAAATGACAAACCAAAAAGAGACAACATAATACCCCATCTTTAGAATGTATATCATAGAGGAATAGAGTCAAAGAAATGGGAAAAATAATAAAAATACAATTATTTGGTGCTGAAATAAAGTCTACAAGAGAATGTCATTCATCTAAAAATCTTTAAACCACCATCAAGACAAGGGAAAGAAGAGTATTATTGAAAGATCTTCATGAGTAACATCATAATCCAACCAGGTACCCATTGCTCCATGGTATTAAGCTGCAACAACATGTAAAATTTGGAGACATTAGACAAGTTTCCCTTTCATAAAATAAAATAGCACAAAATAAATATTATTAATTATTTTATTATTATTTTATTTTAATAATATTATTATATTATTTTAAAAAGGCTTTCTTATAAGCCTAAGCCTATTCTACTTTTCTGAAAGGCCGGGCTAGGCCAGGCTCAATGAAGGAAGGGCTGTAGGCTGGGCCGGGCTAGCCTGGCCGGCCTATTTACACCCCAATACACAACTAAGTGTATGAGAAACAACAAAAGAACACTCAAAATGTGATTAAAATAGACCGTGTTTGGTGAAGAAATGGGGAGTGAAATGGAGATGAGAGAAATGGAATGACAGTGGTTTTACAATTTGAAAATATGTTCTATTGAGCGAAGACAAAAAGAATGATGACCGTGTTGGGCAAGTGGCTTCTTTCACAGGACACTTACGGAACATCTAGAGGGGGGTGAATAAGTGTTCTAAAAACTTTTTGAATTCAGTACACAATTACACAATTTTTCTTCAGTCCCTATATGCCCAAAATGATTTTCACAATGCTAAGAACAATGTAGTAACAGAATGCGTACCTTAGCAATTTATAGAGGTTAAACGCAACAATGTAATTTTCTTAAACAAAACAGAAAATGATTAATTTCCAAATATCATAAAACAATTTAAGTGCAACAACAATTATAATAGAACTTATAAGGTGCTACAGCACTTTCAAACCAGAATCAGTGTAACTGTCAGTCTCTAAACAAAATATTCAGAAATAAAATCAGAGACAAGGGACACACGATATATCCTGGTTTACACCCACTAAGCCTAAGTGTACCTGTTTTACAAACAACGCGTCACACATGCAATCAAACAAAATATCAAAAACCTTCCTAGTGCCTACAATGCTCCAAGCTCTGAGAATACTCTCAAGCCGAACCTACGGAGTTCACTAACTCCTCTCACACCAGACCTCCACTCTCCCTAGTGGATTCTTGAGGCTCCAAGCCTTGAGACACACTCTCAAGCCAAGCACAAGGTTGCCAACCCACACGGTTGCACCCTCACACCTAGGACAGATTTACAGCACACAACTACTCCACTTTAACAACCAATACAGAATTTTTCAGAACTGTAACAAGTGAAATAATCCAAAAATACAGTGTCCTATCACACCAAATATATCACGGTAATATCAAACTAAGCTCCACAAATTTATGCCATATGCAGAAAATTAAATCAATGACATATGTATCAAAATCTCTAAAATTAATACACCAAGGAGCTTGGATATTACACAATTAATTTTCTAATCAATGGACACCAAGAAATCTGATTTAAACAGAAAATATCACCATTATAACCAGAAAAATCAGATTTGAAATTTATCTCAAAATTTCACATAAAATTCAGAATTAGTTCTAGATAAATCTTTTAATAATAAACCACAAGAAATCTGAATTTTAAACACAATATATCTCAATTAAAACAGAAAATTCAGATTTAATATTCCAACAATAAAGTTTCTAGAACAATTCAAGATTAGGCTTCTAAACAGTGAATCTCACACAAAAATCTGAATTAACACAATGTATAACAAGGTGTAAAAATAAATTCAGATTTAATATTTTTAATCAATATTTCACAAAAATTAGAAACACAAATCTTACACAAAGACCATCAAGATTTCTAAAATATTCACTTAAAATCAAAACAGAAAAATCAGAATGCTCACAATATATCAAAAAGAAAACTGAAAATTAATTCAACAATATCAAGTCTCAAGAATATACCAAAGGATGCTCAAAACAAGGTTTAAGATATTACCTCAACAAATCTCAAATTTTTAGCAAAGTAAAACAGAAAATGAGGTTAGGGTTCTTCAATTTTAGTTCCAAGAAATTTGAATTAAATGCTTCCAAATGGTTGAGAACTTTCAATAAACACAAACGTTGATGATAGAGAGAAAATGAGAATCTTCTTCTTGAACTATTTTTTTTTTAGAGCGCAAACGAACCAGAACGAAGAGGATTTCCAAGAAAGGTGAACTGTATTTGTTTTTTTTCGATTTCTTGTATATAGCTATTTTCTCGGTTTTGCCACTTATATACTATTATAAAACAAAAGCTAACTATTCCTACTATGATTACATCTATACGCTACATGATTCAGAATTGTTAAAAAAATATTTTATATTATTATTTCTTATTGTTTTTATTTGTATAGTAAAGCTATGTATTTAATTCTTTCTTTTAGATTTTAAACTTAACTATTACAAACAAAACTAATCATTATTATTTAATATGAAATTGAATGCATAAAATGCAATGATATGTATTGGAGCTTAGGTAGATATTATATGATATAATATTGTGTAACAAAATATCTAAAAATACCTAACCACTTGTATCTTCAAGCTCTATCTTCAATTTGAGATTTCTTGTAAACCTTTTGTCATCATCAAAATATGTATTCCATTATGCTTAAGAGGTCTTCAGACCGTACTGTACAAGGACAATTTATTTTAGAGCATTTATATTTAACATGTACAACAAAAGATATGTAAAAAAATAGTCTATGCATGTCATATTAAACACCAAACAACAACTAGACATCATGTGCAAAAAGATTTATCAAATAAAAACAGTCCATGGCACATGATGCTCACATGCTCACTAAGTTTTCTTAGGAACATATATCATGTTCTTAACCTTAGGGCTAAAGAACATGCTAGATGTGTTAGGTTAAGGTCCATAAGATGTTGAAGCAATGTTGCTCACTTTTATAGTTCTCTTAGGAACCCACTTAAGATTAGTTCCTTTTAGGCCATACTTCTTAATATTGCAATGATATACAAGATGACCACTCATGCAACAATATGTACATTTCTTAAATGGTAGTTTAGACATGAACCTAGGAGGATATTGGTTTGTCTTTCTTGGTTGAGCAAAGGGAGGTTAGTGAAAACCAAGTCCATGTTTTGTAGTCTCAACCCTTTGTCTA